ATGTTAATTCTACTACGTAGAATAAAAGTGAGCAAAAAGTGTGTGTAAAAAGTGAAAAAATCCGTTCTCTCTGCAAAAAAAAGAAAAAAATGAAAACAAATACAAAATCGAAAAGGATGAATGAAAGCTGCCCTTCGATATGCATAATATTAGTGAATGCAAGTGCAGTGAATTCTTTTCAACGTTACTTGCGCGAAATCGTGGATTCATAATGCATTTGTATTGTTGCAATTGCAACGCAACCAAATGTCCATCAGCTACGCTATGTTAACTGAACGTTCTGTTGCCCTAATTTTGCTTTTCATAAGCCATGGGCTGCCCCTAAGGTAAATAAAAGGTGTAATAAGTGTGTTGCAAAAAAAAAAAAAAAAAAAAAAAAATTGCACAGATAATTTAGAAACAAAATATTTTGAAATATGCGTTCGCAATACACACGTCCATCAATTCCCCTATAGGCTGCAAAGAACTTCGTTGACCATTAAAAGTAAAAAAAAAAGAAGAAAAAAAAGATATTTTCACTTCAGTTTCTTCAAATATCTCAAATAGAATCCGCACGAGAAGAGAGGCTAACAATTTACGTTGTTCGTATTCTTATTACAAATTTCAACATAACGAAGCTATCCAATGCTAGCCCAATCAATTTTTCCACTTCATTTGCATTACCATTCGACCTTCGACCAAAACACGTCGGTACGCTAAATTTCGTTAAAATATCTCATTAGTTTTGAATTGTAGGCTGGAAACAAAAATACATAAACAACTATCAAATAGACAGCCAGACCGACAGACGGAGAAGACGGAAATGAATTCAGATAATTATTCTAAATCAATCGCTATATATATGTATATGTAAAAGAAACCGGACCACGAATGGTTTAGAATATAAAAATGTAGAAAAATCTGAATGCAATCTATATCGAAGCAAGCAGTCGACTTTTCACGATCGACCGTAAACAATACATGTTTCTTGCCTTTCTTGAGATTGAAATCAATATAATATAAAGCGGACATCATCATAATATGCTTATGTTATACGTGCACATGCACATATGCAACCGTGACTTACTTTAACAAAAAAAAAAAAAAAAAAAAAAAAAAGTATTGAGTTTCTTAAATAGGAGGTGGAAGTGAAAGTACAGTACAGCACAACGGCTTAGATCACACGTCATTTCCGAACCGGCATCGGAACGTAAATTAATTGCTCTTTAATATTATCTTTCCAATACAATATTAAATACTCTTTAGAAAATTGCTACATTTTGTGTGCGAGATATCTTACCACAATCAACGCACCTAAGACCTAAGTTTAATCGTTTTATTCTTCGCCATGTTATTCGCAACGAAAGCATATGAATCGAGAAGAACAATTCAATGCTTTCAACTATCCATTCATCGAAACGATTTTAACCATCTTCTCTTAAGCATTCACATAAGCGAAGCAAGCATAGAATCTAAGATGTATAAAGTGAAAATTTGAATTTAAGTGTAAAAATTCCAATTCTATTAAGCGGCGAATTCTAGATAGAAATATAATAACAGTAGTGTACACTAACAATCGTAATTGCAGCCAGAAGGACAATTTAGACAATCTTAACCTAGCATTTAAAGTCTTGCATCATATATTCTGCGATAAGGTATTTCACCTATTCGTCGAAGGAAGCGAATCAAGTTGCGAATATTCCGAATTTGTTATCGGCGAAGATATCGTAGATTAAATTGACAACGCCACATATCATATATTTTTGACAATCTATCACAAGTAGAGGTAACTTGGTGAAAAAGAGTGGAGTGAAGTGAAGCGGAGCGTGAAATCTGGTGTTTATAGGGAAATGTCAAAATTTATTGAAAAAAATCGTGCTTTTCACGCTTATCAATAGCAGTAAATAACCAAAGTCAGAGGCTCAATACTTCCTCTACATGGTAACACTGTTTTTTAAAAGGACAGAAGTGTAACGAGGAAAGAATTATTTACCTTGGACAACAAAATATATTTACATATAATATAACTTATATATACAAATATTTACATATTAACACACCCATATTCAGAAAATATTATAGAAACCGAAAATACCACATGGCCCACATTTGCTATTATCAAGTAAAAGGCAAAAACAGAAATGCAAATAGCACTTAAAAGCACTTATTGCATTTTTGCAGTAGCAGTCATAACATGTAATGCATTCGAGCACTTTAGTAGCAATAAATATTCAGTTTTCTGTATTAAATTGACACGAAGAAAATGTGAAATAGTATAGGGAAAGGAAAAATGGGAATTTGACCAACTTTTTATGGTTAAAATTTTCATTTGAATCTTAAGCATACTCTTAATCACATACTTATCATACATACATACTTGGGGCTATATGTTTACACGTTCAGAACTTTACATCTCAATAGAGAAGAGCATCGGGCAAGTAGGCAATCAATATATAGGTTTGTTATTACCCCTTTTACTTAAGGTTAGCTAAAAACAAAGCTTTTATAGAAAAGTTCGCCATTAGTCTTAATATGTTTTTCTTATACTTGGGAAATTGTTTTTGTTGTCTTTACTCTATACATTTCTAAAGAATTGCATAATTACGGATTTAAACATGTCTGCCTTCGCGTACGTACGGAAACACCTCTCACTCAACGCCTCTCAACCAATGCCTGCTTACATCCACACCTATATATATAGACATATAAATATATCTTTGGAATTTAAGCATGTACAATATTACCATTACCTATGCTTTGTATTCATGTAGTCCTTATTGTAAATATGTAGATTGAGGTGAAGTACTTAAGTATTCATGTATTTCTCTTTACATATCTCTGTTAAATACAATTCCTGATGTTAGATGCTTTTCAAATACATATTACTATGATTTTTATCCTATGCTCATGATTAATGCTTTCAAGCCGCATGCATGCACTCGTCGCATTATATGGCAGCAACGTGTATTGCTTTCTTATATTTGCAAATTGAATGAAACAATGTCGAATAAACTGAGACTGAGGCACTATAAAGCTTAGAACACCGCATCTAACATCAGGAAGAGAAAATTTGTTTGCAAAATATTTCAGTTAAGATGGATTTTAACAGATAGACGAATAGATCGAAAGCCTGACCGTACCTGGACAATGCAATACGATGTACATATTAATTAGGAAACATATCTTGCTCTCGAGAAATTTGATTTCATGGTTAAGCTCTTGTAACGATCTTCGATAGCGGTATGTTTTACGTTATATGCTTAAGGGGGCGTTGATGTACAATTTGTAACAACTGATCGTAAGATTAGTCGCCAGCGAGATGTCCGATCCCTGAGTACACCTCCGTATCTGCTTTGCCCCTAAGGGTTATTATTTTTTTGTCCAGATAATTAAAATGATCACAGCTAAAAACTAGGCAGTAGACAATAACAAGTTGGACTACATCAAAAGTTGAGCCATAACCTAAAAAGAGTTCAAGTGGGACGGATCTATAGGAGTATGTGTAAATACCTTAACTGCTTCTGGAGAGAAATCGAAACACGATAACACGAAATGTTAAATAATTACGGATGATGAATTATTTTGCACCTTCCATCAGGATGTATATAATATATATTTTGGATGTCGCGCGCTCCATATTGTTTTCCCGAAAGGTAGCATATTTTACATCTGTCACGTAATCGAACCGTTCTTTCACGAGTCAAGCTATGTCGCATTCATGGTCTTAATTTCATTCCAAACTGCAATATTGGTCACTCATTGTCGTTGGAAAGAGTTTTCCACTATTTCTCCTGGGCTCTCGGATCACCAGATATTTGTTGATGTATTCATGCAGATGAAATGGGTCTCATAACTCAGAATTATTTTTTAGTTAAAAAACCGCGCTTTTGTTCATGCATTCTCAGCACCCCATCAGCAGAGGTGGTACTGTGAATGCATTCGAAAATTTCTTTGTTTCCAAGTGCCAAACATCATTGCAATAGCAGCAATAGGTATATAATAACCGTTCCAAGATGGCGCGAAATTTAAATTTATTAAAAGACGCGATATACTCTTGAGCAGCATGAATAATGGTATCGAATTAGTCATGACGATCATAAACTTAAAATTTTGTAGAGATCAAGCGAAAAAAAAGTATAAACATTATAGTCAGGCAAAGAAGATTATTAGCACATACTCTTCATATATTTTCGAGATAAAATAATAGAAAGGATACTTTTTATGAGAGTCGGGATGAAAAAATATTTTTCGTAGCAACTGCACAGATATCAGACAGGCCGATAAGCTTTAGGAAGATTCAGAAAATCATTCTGAATCGATCTATATATGTGGGTATATTTTCAATCTTTGCATATGTTATATACGTCCGCACGAACTTAATACACCGTGCACCACCACGTGTCTTGCGTAGCTATCTATCTGCTCACCATTAGCAAGAAATAGATAATATTTTCCTTCTCTCAAACCTTGCGTTGGAAAAAAAGACGACCGTTAAAATAGGTCTTAAATTTGTCTTCTTAAAAATTTACATAGTACTATAAGTTTAAATATCGTTGATCCACATTTGTACCCGTATAATAATAAGTCGGCATTTTACCATGTTCGGGAGAGCTCCCAAGCACACAGCAGGCGATTTGAAGCAACTGAGACATCCAATTATGCTCGGAATGTTCAGTCCGGTCACATAATGTCGCCACAGAGCAAGTCATTTCGGAAGTATCACGAAGTCCATGCTTCCGTTCTTCTGCTCTCTCTACGCTTTAAAAATAATCGTGAAAAACACTGCTATCGCGTTTGCAATCGTCGCGTAACACGTTTGATTGCAAAAGTTATCCTGCGGACAACATCTCCACTTGCTGTCAAACGTTACTTACTCTCGTTCATGGCTTAAATACATACATACATACTGTTGTATTTACCCACAGACGAAATATGTGATATCATTATCATAACTTTACCGATTAGCTCTCTTGATTCGAAATAACACCGTTACATATTCATATTTTTTACTCTCTTTTCAGATTCTATGTTTTTCATTAATAACTAGTTTTCACGCCAAAAGGATGTACACTATCTCCAATAAAAGGAAATAACTTAACTTAAACAACATCTAAAAGTAAAAGTAACGACCACCCTCAGCATAGTAGGAAAAGTAGAAGAGAAAACGTTAAAAAGAAATATTATAAAAATATTTATAAAACAAAAAAAGTTGTAAAAAGAGAATAAAAATTATATGACAAAGAAAAAGAAAAACACAAAAATCAACCTGTAAATGCTTGCATTATATAAATACTTACATATGTTTATACCTATATACATTGAGAAATATACTGGAAAATATTTGCTTTTTCGTTTTGTTTAATTATGAGAAAGCTTTTCCGTAGAATTCTTACAAACAAAAAAACCATTAAAAATCTAAAAAAAAAAAAAAAAATTTATTTATATGTGTACGTACTTGTTATAAAATTATAAAACTATAAATAATACTAATAAAGTAAAGTAAAGAAATATTATTAATAGAAGAAAGAAAAAACAAAAAAAGAAGAGAATACAATAAAATTAACAATAAATGTATTCAAAAGGAAAAACTGATTTGATATTTTATTATGTATTTGTAATAATCATTGTACATAAGTATAGATAAATGAAATGAGAGCGCTATATACTATAATTATATTAAAACAACATATACACACGCAATGATGATATGATGATAATTATAATAAAAGGAATCATATACGGGAACGAACGAAATAAAAATTCTTAATCGGAACTAGGAAGGACGACACAAAACGTAAAACAAAAATTAAAAAAAAAAAAGAAAAAAAAGTATAAAAATTTAATGACAATAGCAATTAAGTATCTAGTATCATAATAACAAATTAACACAGGACATTGCTTTCTACAAGAAAAGCAGCTACAATATAATAACAGATCCAAAAGCTTATGGTATTATGTTTGCCAGTTTGTACAATTGAAAAAGTAAGTATTTCGAAGTACCGCTCTTGCCAAACAATTGTTTTATTTTTTATTTTTTTTTTTCTATTTCCATTATTTTCACTCACACTCAGAAAGCCTTTTTATCAATTTTTTTTCACCCTCTTTTAATCACACGCCCTAATTTTGTAATTAGAAATAGTTTACAGGCTCGCGTTTGCCTAAATGACAATTCGGCAGTGTGACACTTAGGCAGCAGTGAACATTTTAGCCTTCACATGAACACTCACGAAATCTTAGGTTGATCTCTTTCGCTCCGCATCAATATTACTACACTCTACAGCACTTGCGATGTGGGTAAGTTTGTACGAATGTATATTGCATCGAATAGGATCTAAGATGAATTCACCTACAGGTCACAACTTTTGAGATATTTTAATCAAATTTAGTTCATTGGCATGCCTTTAGGACCAGTGTTTCTATTTTGGAAATTTGTCAGCAAAAGTAGCTGAGTAATAATATTTCGGTATACTAAATTGTGAGGAAAAATTTGTAACTATTTCCACCATCACCCATGTAGCCGTTTATATGGTTTCATTTGACCCCCAACGGAAAGTATGCTTTTACATGGGCACCAAGCATTGTATCTTAACGTGAAAATAATTAAAGGATTGCATTAGGCGAGTTGGTCATGCCTAACTATAACGTGATAGATGGATTATTTAACCACTAAACCGAGCGTTTATTCTGTCCACGACAAGTTTACAGATGAACATGAAATTCTTAGCTTAACGAATACTTTTGCCAGGAAAAATGAAATAATATCAACAGTAAATTTCGATCGGACGTTGTATCCAATGGTAAACTTTCCGACTTAGAACAACAACAAATTTTGAATAATGCTTCATTGATACGACAAAGACTTGCGTATGTCAGTTCAAAAATGGCCTGCGGCACCCGTCCAAGTACGCAGCCAAATTCGATCAAAATTATCGGAGAAATGAGCTAAGAGTTTAATACTTTATTTATTAATTAATTATGTGCAATAGGAAAATATTAATTTTAATCGATTCGAAGGAAAAATTTGTTAGCGAGGGCCTGCTTTCGTAAAGAAAAACTTGTTCATCATTAAGACAATACACTGGCTTGCAGAAGTGTTCTTTCAAAAGCTAAGCATCTAGGTGATCCGTATTATCGATTTGCTGGGTTTCAGACTAAGATTAATATGAAAGAAAGTGACATTTGTTTAGCAATGGATAACCATTAATCCACTTATTGCATGCATATTAATCGGCCGATCAGCATTACTCCCTCGTCCAATTTTTATATTGATACGCAGTACATTTGCAATGAATATGATGCCGATATTTGCTATAGTTTGCAGACATGCATGACGACACCTGTTGATTCTCGAACTCAATTTACAGCTGTCCGCTAACTAAATTCGAAATTTCCATTTTTGAATTCGTAGGAGAAAGCGAAAGCGAGCTAGACTAACAGACAACCGAATTAACGAAAGGTTTTACCAAGGGACGGAGAGAAAACCAAAAAAAGAGAGATTGATATATGGATAGATTACATCGATAGGCAGACCAACAACAAAAACAAATACACTCTACACTTTAGTGTAAGAGTTTACTGATAACTACAACTATTTTTCCCTTCCCATTAATGCTACAGGAAACCATACAAGCAACGGAAAAGACAAACAAAATGACAAAACGTCCTGTGGTCTAAAACGCTTGTGCGCTTGATTGTGCCATCGATACTTATATATTTCAGAATATTTCCAGCTTTGAAGGGTGACAGATATAAATATTATTGACCTTACATAGTAAATGTTTTTAGTTTGCATAGACGGAACGAAGTCTTTAAGTCTTGATTGTCTTGTTGCTTTTTGTTCAATTTCTTCTATAGACAAACAATTGAATTGATGAAAGAAAGTAACTGCAGCAGATTTAAATACATTTTTAGCACAATCAAGATGGTCTCAAGAGTTCAAATATATTAGCAATTACGTCTTATTAGTTCTGCTGCCGAGCTAAAATAAGCTGCATCAATATATATATATATATATATATATATATATATATATATGTAATAAATGTGAACGTATATATATACATACCTAGCTATATATTTATATTCGTTTTCATTCCAATTTTTCAGAGCATCACTTATTTTAATTTAGATAAAAAGGAAAGGAGCAAAATCTCTTTGTGTATGTATGTACAAAAAAATAAATAAAAATGATTTAAAATCAGCTATGTACCCTAACGACATTCAAAATTTGTTATATTCTGTGTAAATATATACTAAGAAAAAGCAATTAAAGAAGAACTAAATAAACTGAGAAGAAAATTGAAAACTAAGCGAGAAACCAAAAAAAAAAAAAAAAAAAAAAAAAAAGAGAAAAAGGAAAGAAAAGAAAAGAAAAGACATATAAATGTTACAATAAGTGAAACTGTATGTATACATATATCTATGCATGTACGTATACATATGTGTATTTACATACATATATATATATATATACACAAAACGCTCTTTATTAAAATACTTAACGGAAAAATAAAAAAAAAATTATTAATAAAAATGAAAACAGTCACAAAATAACTTTAGATTCTACCCAAAGCAGAATAGAGGTAAGAAAAGAAAGCAAAAATTGGCTTTGAACGAATTTCAACGAAACAAAGGTGGACATGTTTGATAGCAACATTTAACTTGAGGTAAATATTTATCACTGAAGGCTTTAAGTATATGCTGCGAGAGTTATTGAGCCTTCATACAATGCAAAATAAAGAAAATATCTATTTTCTACTGAAAAATTGGTTTTATATATTTGTTGCATAACATTTGCGATTTCTGATCTACAAGTTACGAGCCTCAAAGATCTCGAGTGGAATAAATTAGCCACGTTCCCACCATTTTTGGACGATCATTAACGATGTACGACAACCTTGCTAAGATTCAGTTTGTTCACTATCTCGCGTCAGGAGATAAACTTTCATTCTATTAAACGTAAAGACTTCCCCTTTGGTATTAGCATTTTCCCACATCACTTTTGTTGATAATGGAGCACTCTCCGAAGTAGCATCGCCCCTTAAACTGATATTATTCGGAAAATTCTAGTCCTCGTAATTATCCCCAATGTTGGTTGATCTTAGGTGACTCATAGAAGACTGACGTCGATCATCTTCTAAGGACAACAGGAGCTAATTGCAATGAAAAATGAAAAGACGCTAGCGAAGAAGAATGCCGCGATGCAAAGCAAGAACAACCCGAGTCATCATAAAATATCTACCGGTATTTAACTATGTCCCCCGATCGCCATGTAATCTATATTCCATTAAGAAAAATGCTTAGCTATTCTCAATGCACATGCACATGTCCTTGCCTTGTTTGGCATATTGATTGATTGATTGTAACTTTCTATTATTAATGTCTATCGCTGCCTTGTAAACTCGCGAATTTCAATTTTTACAACATCGTTGAGTTAGAAAAACTTTGTAGATAAAGTGTGCTATTACCACTGCAAAGTATAGTATATAGTATATAGTATTTATATACATGCATCGCTCAAGCCCCGTGGGCAGAGTGATGAGTATGACGCTGTCTACGTAGAAGAACAAAGAAAGAGAAAGTAATGTTATTTGAGAGAAAACTGCAGATGGAATGTTTTAAGAGCGTTTAGCCTGATTAACGTCGAAGAGTCGTGACAGTTCAAGTTAAACTACAAACACTTTTCCCTTTAAATGAATGTTAATATGTTTATATTTACGGATTCTAAATTGGACCGGTTGTAAACAAATTGCTGAACACAGTCTTTTCCTGTTTAAATTTTTAGCCTCTTCCTGCAGCGGGCCTATAAAGCCAACTTCCAATACGTTATTGAAGTTTTTGTTATCTTAAAAAATTCCAACAAAAAAGGATCTGTAATCGGATAACATCTTTTTACATTCTAGACCCATGCAATACATAGTTCGGGAGACTGTCAGCAGAATCACCAACAATATTATTGAATACCTTCATCTCCGGTCTTCACTGCTGAAAACCTTTTCTTTTTTTTTTTTGTCTTTTAATATATTTGATTACATTTTTACTACTATCGAAGCTTGAGCTATTTTAGAAATTGCGCTTTAATTTCTTTAAATTAGTTTTCCAATTTTTTTTTTTCTCATTTATTTATTTCTCTTATTTCTCTTCCATTGTTTTGTGCGATTTAATGCAATTAGTACACTTTCATTTAATTAATAGCTTTGACAGATTACCATCTGTCTTAATAGCTTTACTTAATGTCTTTGTTGTACAAATAAGAAAACGTCATGTGCTTTAGGCCGAATTCTGGATACCTACCACCTAAGGAATATATGTAAATCATATATAAAAAAATTATCTGGTATTAGTTGAATTTAAATTCATTTTAGTCTGCAACTAGTACAACATTTAATTGATTGGGATTTTTTTTTTTGTTTTTTTTATCAATTCGTTTCTTTTTCTTAACGGGTCAACTTTACCTTCGGCC